GGTGTTGTAGTCGACCTCATGGTCATCATTTCCCCGAATGAAAGTCTGGGTAGCCTGGACACCTACCTCACTCAAGAAAGGAAGGACTGTAAGACTATATCTCGCGCGACGGCTTCACATAAGATGACAAAGGCAAGTTTGGATACCAAAGATTTTGCTTGTTTTGTCTTTGGTGGATGTTAACGGTTGTGGGAAGATTCAAAGTCCGTAGCACAAGGTCTCGATTGGTATCAGCGAATGCACCCACTACACGAGTGGTCCAAATGTCAAACTAAGTTATCGCCGTATATATTCGTCGGGGGACTAGCCTTCTCCGTTTCAAGCTCTATGAGTATTGGGCTTGCGCCCGGCACGAGTAAATATCCATTTTTTCATTCAATCGATTCTCATAGACATTGAGGGTCAAAGCTTGGGAGATGATGAAGAGCAAGGAGCATCCTATTGCATACTCACATATCTGCAGCATCCGGCCACTCGACCAACCGGAAAGCTCAAGAAAGCCAGATTGATCCTAACTTTTTGACCCAATATAGATGATAAGGTTGCTCTGCAGCTTAACGAATTTCGCTGATTTCCCCGGTTATTTTAGACTCGTAGACAGACTGAACTAGGTTGTGAGTGAGGGGAGAAGATGAAGGGATAACGCTCCTTCAAGATTTTACTCGATGAAAGATTAGAGATATTCAATATTCCCGGGTCTGGGAGCTAGATGGAGCTATAATTCTCGATATTGTCTTTAAACTGATTGGATAGAGCTAGATTATGTCTTGAATTCCCCACTTGGTCGGGCCTCCTGCAATCAAAATAGAAGTCGATTTCTTTTAATTGCCTTGCCCAAAGTGCAGAAGCGTCGATTACGGGGCCTCCATGCCATTATCGGTAAGATGAGATGGTTAACTAATTATAGTCTCTTTGAGTTTATGTAAGGGACTTTTAGAATTTGCAGAAGAGACTGTGGCAACCCTTCAACAGTTTACATTTGGATACGCCAATTTTCTTAATCGTAGACAGTGGGGGTCATGCCTAAAGTGACAGACGCAAGCCATTGTGAAGGCCAACCTATGGGCATTAGAGGTCATCATTTTAATATGAAGCCAAAGCACTTGAATCATTACAAGACAGAAGCCGAATGAGGGTGCACAAAGAGTGGCTGACGTGGAAACGGGCTTTCTCACACTGATTCTGCCCGACGACCGATGCTCACCGCTACGTTAGAGTTGGAGGATGCCCATGGGTCGTAAAGCTAAAGCTGCAGTACAGTGAAATACGAAAACGGCAGCAGTTTACCCAACTACATCCGCACGAAACGCCTCGAGTCGCGGAAATGAATGTGGGGGGGGATTACAAATGCTCCCGCCATTTCATCAACGCTGCAGCTGTCGTGGTGCGCAGAAGTGGATTTGGGCGACCTGGAGACGACTTCTCTGGACAGGTTGGACGTGCAGTGACTACTACATGCCGTTGCCCTGGCCAAAGACAAGAGGCTCAGGGCGATGTCGGCGAGCCAGGCGAATGACAGGATCGTATGCTGCGCCCTGTGATTCGAGATATCTGTCGCAGTTCGAGGTATGGCTGGGGCTTAAGTGAAGATGTCGACAACAGAAGTATACCAGCGATCGATTTCATAGTTAAAAGTCTTTCGAATGCGAAGAAATCTGGCCTTTTCCTGCCTTCAATCTTCTCTCTGTGCATCACCTGACCAATTACGGCGAGCGAGTCTTCTGACAATGCATCACGTGTATCACGCCCCACCAGGTGAGAGATAGTGCTAGGCCGGACAGGGGCTGGGGGCCTTTCTGTGCCCCTGATGCCGGGTCGTTCATTGTCGCCCGCAACCCTCCCAGAACGATCGAAGAAATAGCAGCATGACATTACCAAAGGCACTCGTGAGAGCGAGGTCAGTGTGACTCTAGTCCTCGAAACTATCCAACGGATGTGAGTTAGTTTCCCTTCCTCTAATGATGAATATTTCCATTTCATTATCGCTGGACGACTGCCAGGCGAGTGCCTTGTTACGCATATTCTTCGTCGCTCTCCGGCCCAGTCATGGAACCCCGCCTTCATCCTAGGCCACCATTAATGCCCACTACAACTGAAAAATTCTGCTGACGCGCGAAAGCTTCCCTCATTCTAGTGTTCACAAATCATCGACACCATAAACGGAAGCTTCATTGTCCTCTACAACCAACCATACACTTCTCCTCGCATGAGCTTCCTCTTGGCCTTTTAGGACATGACGGTCGCGTAGATTCGTGAAATGGGTGAAAATACATCATTCCTATCCACCCTCCAGCCCCTCGGAAATTCGCGGCACCAACAAGTAGCACTCGGGCCTCGTTGCAGGTGTGAACCTGGCCGAGTGGATCCAGGTGCAGAAGTGTATTGGCAAAATCCCCACAAGATTCACACGTCTGAAATAAGAAAGCGACGACGGATGAGCCGAAAGACAGTGTTAGAAACAAGGTTTGTTTGGGAGACAACAAATAACTTCCGTATCTTGCGCGCTCACAACAACCGCTGTTCCCTACAAACAAGTCATGCTTATCTCGAGCGACAAGGACATGGCAGAAGATGTGGGCCCATCCTCGTTTTTCGCCAGAAACCTCAAGAGTCAGGTTCATCAACCCCACCGGTACGAGATCTACGGGATGCTTCTACGCCAGCCCCCAAGGTGTCCATGAAAGCTAAATGTCGTTACTCAGAGTCGCTGCATCTAGAAACAAGTCGCATTCTTATCCTATTTCTAACTCCACTCATACATTCACAGCGAGCACTCTAGCTGTGTTGGATAGGCCCTCAACAGGGGTCTGGTTGTCACGTAACACTTGCCGTGCCTTTGGCCGAGACAGCCAAAGATGCCTAACAATTGTCCTATGCAAGGCACCGGAGTAATTTAAATGGATATGTTGATGAATGATTTTGGGAATTACTGTGTTATTGAGTGGCCGGCGTCTAGCGTGGTGGAGCACTATATCTACCCGTTAATCGACGGCTATAGTCTATTTTTACATCTCCAGCCTATGTAAAGACACCAGGGTGGGTAAATGATTCTACGAGTCAACACGTTTGGCGTGATTCAATGCGACGGTGGAAGAGGCACGATTAGAAGTAGGTCACTGGGAAGATGGAGCTCGTCATTACATGAAAACCATCGATGCTGCGAGCTGGTGCATTGAGTCGGTGAAATAAAGTGATTACCATGTTCTATCAATCATGAACAATGGTAGACGCTGGTGCTATCCAGTAGCAGGGCAAAGTTGCTAATAAGTTTGATTAGATCAAACGTCGTGTCAAGATTTGCTAGTAAGTTTTCATTTAATGCCAAGTTGGCGCACGGACAAGACTCGGCCTCTGAGCGCTCAGGAACGCGCTTGGCGTGTCTGCGCAGCTTAAGGCCGACAGGCATATCTATCGTCTTCATGAATACTATTCTACCTGCACCAGCAGCTCAGCAGTGAGCCAAGATCTTCAGCGAACAAAGCCAATTCTTCAAATTGTGCTTTACCACATGAAAAATGCGATGACTCGGCTGCAAGGAGATGTGAGGGCGAGTAAATATCTCGCGGTGCGGCAACATCACGATTTAGGGCATAGATCAACCAATCGGGACCGAGAAAAAGTCATGTGAGGGCGAGCAGAGGTTGGATAATGGGTCGATACAGGCCTTGAGCTGTTTGACACGTCGAGTAAATGTTTTTTCTACCAGTGCAGTGTGCCAGTCCGACACATTGTATACTGCAGATCAACAGACTCCCTCACGTTGCGCCGTTTGTCCTTAGATCACGGAGAAGCATCAAGATGCTAGGGTTGAAGTAGGAAATCTAATCGAAGTTCGCCGGCGGCCCTAAAAAGTTGGTCACAACCACCCCCAGGGTCCAGCTAGTCTTGTCAAAATGTGTGGGGAACTTAGAAACGGGTCGCGATGGCGCAAAGGTTAGCTTCCCCCTCAAATATATAATGCTGCTACAGGTATTTTGGTGCGATGAGAGTTGCAAACCGTCGATACCCTTCTCGCAGCTCGCCAGCTACATGAAAGCTGGCCGAAGACGTAATTTCTCTTGCGCCGCATTGATGGAGGGGATGGGCAGAACCGGAGCGCGCCAGTCCTAGTGGTCGCGAAGATTCAGCGCTATAGAGCAACGTAAACTGCCAGCACCTCAAGTACTACTGCTTGGAATTTCTAATAAGCTGTACTCCCAGTGCTATTCTTACCGTGCTGCTAATTGGCGTCTGTTGCTGAGATTGTTAGCCCAGCAATAATAGCTGCTGTAATGATGATCATAGTAGACGTTGTAAGATGAAGAATTAGATTAGCCCTTACTATGATTGGTACAGCAGCAGCAATGCATGGATTCATGGGGCCTGGGTGATGGGGAGCATAGTGTGCCAGGCTCATTTATATTGCAATCTTGCATTTTCAGCGCCGAGGCCATGCAGGCCGACCAGAGTCGTCAACGGGTTTCACCCAGACGTGAAGACTTGATCGAGATTCTAGATTGTTCAGAGTCGTTCGAAATAAGAGGTCTAGTTTCGGGTATCATCCCGGTTTACTACACCTTCTGACACTCGCCGACATCAAGAGCGCGGTCCAGCCAGCATGAATTGCCACCATATCCTGTTGCCGCAAACTCTAAGATTGCCCAGCTCGACACGTGATCAATTAATTTGACGCCTTCCTGGTCTCGCACCAACCGAAACCCGGGTGCTTGGCGTCACTCCACAGCTTGGCAGCAGCAGCAACAAAGCTTTTCCATCTGCTTCCTGCCGCACCTCCACATTGTGGCTCTGTCCGGGGCGCCTACTGACGAAGAAACGTCTCCGCATGGATGCCTGTTCAATTCGTATTAACGCGATCCTGGTCTATATGAACGCATCCACTCTCCCAGGATGACGGGTAGAGCTGGGCTGGGCGCGACCCGGTGGCCGCATATTCTCCGGCCCTTATAGATGCCTTCTATGCGCCGCCACACTACTATCTATCGACCTCAAACTTCCTCATTATGCCATTTGATTTTGCTACCTATCGGGCCAAGTGCGGTGGGCTCACGGCCGAAGAGTTACAAGTAGAATGGCAAAATTATACGCGGCAGCTATCAACCGGAGCTACTACTACTGCAACTTCAGTGCTGCTTTCACCTGTTACGCACGGCATCTCGCTCGTCGGCCTCGGAATCTCGGTTCCCCAGATTCACAATGCGCGGAAGAAGCGAGCCATCATCGTCGATACCATGCAACTACAAGGCGCCGAGCCTCATACCCGACGGAGAGACATTATTTTCCCTTCAGCCATATCTGTGGCTACGGCCGCCTTGACCCTCGGATTCACGCCACACTTTGCCGTGGCCCTGGGAGGAGAGGCTAGTGCAAAGGGAATCGAATATCTCATTTCCCACGTCGCTCTTGACGTTGTCTGGACTATCCTAGGCGAATCTTATGCCGTCTATCTTAAGAAAAGAGAGACCCGGAAAGTCAAACGGCAGCAGCATAGACACCAGCACCGACACTCACTGAAATATCATGCAACTGACATGGGTGAGAAGAAAATATCAGCTAGAAGGGAGCGTACGAGAAGATTCCCAGCTCATAGTGACTCAGACACTTCTGACTCTGAATATTCTGATGATGATGCAAGATTTGAGAAAGAGAGTTTGCACGACGACAAGGCACATCTATTCGAGTTCAAGCCTCAGGCGGCGCGAGGTAAAACACATCGCCCGGGACAACGACGAGGGCATAATCGGCGGACGGGTCATCCCGGTCCCGGAATGAACTCATACCATAGCTATACCTTACCTACAGCTTCCAATCGTAGAAAACAGGTACAGCGTTCACCATCTCAACCACCCTCTCAAAGATCCTACCACTCCAATATTTCCGATGATAAAATGTCCCGATCGGCGCCGAAACTACCCCCACGGCGTTTGTCAATGGTCGATAGAGCCATAAATATCAACCCCATACGTAACCGAATGGATTCAGCTCAAGGCTTCACGAGAGCACCTGCCTTAACGAAACAAGTCATCGATACTGACTCGGATAGTGATGATGAAGAAGAGAAAGCACTCGATTCCGATAGCGATGAGGATAGTAATGGAAGTAGCAGCGATGAAAACAGCGATGATGACAGCGATGAAGACAGCGATGTTGACAGTGATGAAGAGAAGGACGAAGAATCCATCAAAGAAAACCGTGAAAGGTGCAAGGTGCAGGTAGACGAGAAAAATATGGAGCTTGTCTTAACAATGGAGGAAGAAATTGCATTACTCAAAGCGACAATTTTGAGAATGGAAATGGAAAAACGTGGCATCGTGGTTGAGCCAAATGCCGGCATGGACCCAACTTTTGTTCGGGAAACCTATGCTAAGCTGAAGGACGGAATTCCTGCCATTGACCAGGTAAGAGCGCAGGGCTTAGAATCAGCTGGACTGAAAAACGCCAAGGATCTCTCAATGAAAAGACAAAGTCCTGAATTCGGCAATGGCAGCCATATTGACACACTTAACAAGTTGCCACCTACTCCGGTATCTTCAACTCCGTCTCCATTGCCCAAGAGACGCACGGAATCTAGACCAGCTGATGCTAAGACTACGCCGATCCCAGTAATTGCAAAACCACCCCCTGAATACCAGAGCCAAGTCCATGAAAGCGAGAAGATTACTTTTCCGCGCTCGCCATATAAAACACGACCAGGGCAAATGCGACGAGATAGTGGATACTTCTCCAATTATTCTAGCTCGTCTCTCGTCTCTATTCCGGGCTCCATACAGCATGGTCGAAGACAGTCTCTTACATCATCCCCTGGATCTGGATTTGAGGCAATGAAGGAATTTAGCTCACAAGTTGTAAACTCTAGTAAAATGGATAAATTTTCCCTGAATATGGAAAGCAATAATGCGAGCAAGCTCAAGATGGCTCCACCCTACGTATCCACACGACGAATATCGCATCATCGTGACTCATCGAACACGCATGATGACAAGAGCACTCGCAATCTAGAAATGCTATCACATAGAATGGTGGCTCAGAAAAACCAGTCGGCGTTAAATTCTCCCTCAGTAAGCTGTGAGCTGCCCAAAGAAAAGTGCGCTGATTGGGAGATACACCCTGTTATGTCTCAGCTTGTCATGTCTCACCACCTTCCCACTCCGCAGGTAGTTGTCAATGCCGCGACGCGATCATGGCGGGCACCAGCTTAATCTTAATTGATGATGGAGGCTATGAAAATATATGGAGCGAAAGAAGTGATAGAAAGGATCGATAATATTTTTGGGACGTGAAGTTGTAGGGGCTAGTAGATAATTTTGGAGTTTCCGGAGTGGGAACCATTAAAGACTGATGGGTGAAAATTTCATATCTAATGCTTTGAGTTGTAATCCCAAAATATCTCTTATTGTAGGTTGGTAATATATACGTATTTACATACGCAATGGATCTCTCAATGATGTGATGATTCTTCTTGGATACAGGCGTACCAGCCTAAGGGCGACACGCCAAGCTGCACCAAGCCACGTGACTAAACAATTCTCAACAAATTGTGACCTCTCTTCTGACTCATGTACACACCAGAGTAGTGTTGCGACACTTATGTCAATCTCATTAAAATTTTACTTCTTTGTAAAAGTTTAGTCTGGATTGTGATGCGATACCGGGGCGCGTTTTGTAAGGAGCTTTTTGCATCATAGGTCCTCACCCCTCATGATGGAACCAAAGTTATAGGCTGAATGCGTGTGCTGGCAAACTAGCCGATTTCATTCATTCCACCCACCACACGATGGTGGAGGAGAGCTTCGTGGACACCTTAATAGAATGGGGGTCACCGCTACTGGCATAGGACGGTTTCGATGAAGATGAATACAAGAAGCGTGGGTATCTAAACTACAGTGTCAAGTAAGGGTGTTGCAGTCTACGCCGCTTCGTAGGAGTATTTTGCATTTCATACAATTGCCACTATAAACGTCTCACGACCAGAATCTTTATCATCAAAAATCAGGCTGCCTACTTCAGCTCGTGCGGGTTTCTGACTGGCCGTGGTCATGCGTGTAATGCAATGGGAATAGCAGTCTGCACCCGCGATTCCCAGCCACGCTTTGAAGCTGACAAAGGCGATTGCACGTCGGCAGAACTCGTATGCGACCTACAGAGACTTTACGACCGCAGAACACAACTAATACAACCCTCTTCACCCCAGATATGAAACGCAGTCGGGATAAAACTGTCTGATTTTTGTGTTAAAGGCAACTTTCACCTCCCACTTTCTCGAATTCCCATAGAAGATCTTTCTCAGCTCAACTTATCTCGCGAATCTCTCCAACATCATTTTGCCACCTACCGAAGCACTCCGTAATTTACAGGTCAGTGTTAACCGCTAGGATGCACAAAGGCATCTGTATGTACGCAAATGCTGCGAGCTGTGAAGGTACGGTCGATGTAGTGGCCTTGAACGTGACTCTACCTCGGCCCAGGGCACTAAAAACTCGAGCTGCGACGAATCGCCATCAATGAAATACGAAAGATATTTCATCGACACATCAAGCAGATTATTCAAAAAAGGTTGAGACATCATTGCCTTGGTCCTAAGCTCCTTGACGTCCATTTAGCCTCCATGGTTGGGGTTATGGCTGCGACAGGCCGAGGCGGGAGGGATAAAAAGTCTACAGAGTTACTGAGATGGCGATAGTTTCGGAAATCTCGAGAAGCTTTAATCGAGGCATAAATGGGAGGAAAGACTAAGGAGGCCTTGGTGGGTGACTGGATGAGATCTTCAATGAAGAAAACCGGCCCTGGATAAGATGAGGATATTCTGGGACGGAACGGAAGAGAAAAGGCAGAGATGGGGAAGGTATAAAGAGCTCAAGCGCATGATGGCTCAGATTAAGCAGTGTTAACATTTCTATCTTGATGTCGACCCGTACAAACATACCGTATAATAGTAACTCATATTGATACTCGGGATTGCGATGGATAGCAGAGATTGATGGTGTTTATGGCAGTGCGGGGTCTGGTAATTAGTGACAGGGATAGGACACACGTATATTTATATCGCGCACTTGACTCCTCTTTGATATGATGATGCTTCCGACTACATTCACAATGCCCATACCTACTCTGGGCTAATCACCCCTTACTATATCGGTCCTATCTTCTAATTAATGCCCTTTTCGCCCTTTATCTTAAATGATAGGTCATGATATTCTTCGTCTTGCTGACCATCATCAAGCTCAGAGTTACGGACAGATTAAATCTTTAACAAGCAGGAACTTCGGCTGCAGTGCGTCAAGGTCTGGTTCTCTAGACAAGAGGGGTGTTGGAAACATGGCGCAATAAAATGCAGGCAGTATTCCTAGAGCGAGAGAACAAGCTGATTAACAGAAAGACATATTCATATTACTGCTAAATCAGTGGGAGATGTGGGCTACAAGTAATATTGTAAGCGACACAGAGCCTGAGCCAAAACATAAAAGAATGTAGCCCCATCTAGGAATAGAAGGCCCCCAATGATCTCGACGTGCTCATGCCGTACAGCCACTCATGTAGCCATTTTGGTAGCCTAAAACGCTATCATTATACAACACTCAAGATCATGTCGGGAACCTAGACGAAATGGAGAGCCCTTTGGTCCAAAGCACTCTGCATCTTCATTTCCAACAACGTGGTTTGAAGGGACGTAACTCAACACCTGTTAGTGGTTCTCCCTACGCATCTCCGCCTCTCACTGTAGAGACGGCAAAGTCGAGATTGAACTGCACCTTTCCAACTTTGAGCTGAGTCATCCCCTCTCCCGTAAAGATACGCTTCAACGGTTGTCTGGGCTGACCTGCGTGGCCAGCCTCGCATACAATCAGTGGGTGGCAAGAGGCTCAGAATTTCGCACTGAGCAACATCTTTTGGAGGAGGGCAAGACTGAACACCTGTACGCGGTGTCCTCTACGAACCTGGGAGTGAAATATTCTCCCAGAGCCAAGTTCAGTCAAACTTCGCAATACCGAACAAGTTGGCCCACGAGGCAATGGTTCAAATTACTCCACCATATCAATCTTTCACTCCCAACGAAATCGATTCCTACCTAGGCCTCATCAAGTTTACAAGTACGACCTAGTACATCCTAATCCCAATGACCACACCTCTTGTCGACTTTCTCTGGCCTTAGCTGGTCGCCAGATACACGCCCACGCCGTAATTTACACCCGACGGAGGAAGCAAAGCGTGGCGCACAAATCTGGAAGACAATTCCCTGGGATGGATGTGAGAGGGATCAGGACAAGTTCACAAGATGATGCGAAGGATGGATACAGTCTCGACTGGAATGAAACTTGGAAATTTGGTGATGAGGTTTTACAAATTGAGCTTTGTGCGTGCCAAGGATTCGGCTGCGAGAGTGCAGGCGACACTATAAACACTGCCATGGTTGGATGGTGCGGTGGTAAATCATCTTGGCCGGTCTGCCAAGTAGAGTCTGGATAGCTTGGACACACATCCCACTCGAGACAGTAGATCGGTGGTTTGAACCCGGCAAAGCACAACCACATTTCTTGCGGCACTGTTATACATGGATGACGGGGGCATGCTTGGATAATCAAAGGTTTTGGATTTTCCTTTGGTGGGTACTTACGGAGGTCGACTGTTTGTGTAAGCGAACATACCTCATAGTGGTATTTGCAAATGAAATCCAGAGTATGAGTGTCTCTAACGTCAAAAGAGTCATCCAATATGTATACATAGCGCCGGTCATGTTTCATAGCTAGATAGCTGCATACACATTAAATTATTTAAAAAAAAAGACCGTTTGCCTTGACCATCAACGTCGGGGAGGCCCTCTCCACATCACAACATGTACTACCCGCCGACGGGCAAAAAAGCCCATGAAATCAAAGTACAAGGCCCGTCCACCTTCAAACAGTGCAGTTTTTTTAAATCGTTTTATGTTTATTCAGCTGTCTAGTTGTGACACATGATTGGCGCTATGTATACACGTGGGATGACTCTTTTGACGTTAGAGACACTCATACTCTGGATTTCATTCGCAAATACCACTATGAGGTATGTTCGCTTACACAAACAGTCGACCTCCGTAAGTACCCACCAAAGGAAAATCCAAAACCTTTGATTATCCAAGCATGCCCCCGTCATCCATGTATAACAGTGCCGCAAGAAATGTGGTTGTGCTTTGCCGGGTTCAAACCACCGATCTACTGTCTCGAGTGGGATGTGTGTCCAAGCTATCCAGACTCTACTTGGCAGACCGGCCAAGATGATTTACCACCGCACCATCCAACCATGGCAGTGTTTATAGTGTCGCCTGCACTCTCGCAGCCGAATCCTTGGCACGCACAAAGCTCAATTTGTAAAACCTCATCACCAAATTTCCAAGTTTCATTCCAGTCGAGACTGTATCCATCCTTCGCATCATCTTGTGAACTTGTCCTGATCCCTCCACCAGACTTTATACCCAGCGAGGACTTTAAAGTAGTTATCATTTCCGAGGCCGAGTTTTTCACGCCTTGTTTTCTATCTTTAGGTATAGTTACATAATTCTGATCATGTCCCACTCTCGTCCTCTGCCAACCATAGTGATCTATCGTCACCTCCGGCCACCTTACACAGAAGGACTCCCCGCGTTCCCACGAGGCATTCTTTCTCAGTACCTCGCGCGCTACGCCCTCGCCTACGCCCTGTGAACCTGCATCTGACACTATTGTTCTTTTCGGGGATCGTATTGTGATCCTGCATGTGCACGAAGCAACTGTATATTAAGAATATTTGTAAATCTTTAGATACCTTAGTTACGGCCTCGCCTCAACCTGGCCCCATGTACAATACCGTGAGTACATATGGTAGGCGGCAAAGACGAGCTCTTCACCTTCCAGTGGTGCCGGTGTAATCGCTCAGTATGCTCTGCATGTCTGGAATAGCCAAGAAGAATCGCATTGGAATCAAAGTCGAAAGCAACCTCAAGCATATCTCCATTTGACGACTTCTCGACAATGCCTCTCTTGTCATATTCATCTGAGTCCTCAACCCCTCTCTAACCACACATCATCTCGCCTCGATGACCAATAAAGAGGTTGCTCCAATTGCATACAGGAGCTTGTCCCATGAATTTCCAGCCATCTCTGACTACGTATTTACGACGCTATTTATATCCGCAAAGAGGAAATCAAGTCGAAAAATACAAAGCCTGGGTCTTGGCTTGTGGGGG